AGACATTGAGCGCGACTTCCTTCTTCAGGGAATGCAAACAAAAATAGAGTGGCATCAGATTTTAGCATTTGTTTCTGTTTCGTCTTTGGTAAAAGATCACAAGCCTTTTTTTTGTCTGGCGCATTATTTTGGTTTATTTACCCAGAATGCCCTGCGCTAAGGCAGCTTCCTGGTTTTGAAGCACTTTCCGGTCTGCTTGGTATTTGACCTGCGCCAGAGTTCACTTCAACCGAACTGAGACCTGGGCTTTTAGGTGGACCACAGTTTTTCTTTTTTTGGTCCATATCAGAGTTCGCTGGGTGTTCATACCTCCCCAAACAACCCGGACTTCTCAAGACAAACAAACTAGAGTTCGATTATAGCGGGCAAAACAGGGCTGGTGTCAGTGCATCTCTAAACTGCTCCATTGTGGCTCCATCTGAATGTTTAGGGTTCCCCTGCTGGAAGCTGAACCTTTACCAGAGTTATCGTAGGCTGCTTCACTCATCAATGCTCTCATTGCCGTTTTAAATGGAAGGCCACGTGCTGGTGGGGCTGTTGGGTAATATTCTTTCTAATTTCATATGATGGATTGAATAGACAGACATAACCATGTTCTGCGTTGTTTAGTGTTCACGATGCGGTTTCCTTAATGTTTTCTAAGTCCTTCCCGGAACTACTGTTTTGTTTCTGAGATTAAATGATGCTGCCGACGAATTCCCGGCTTTTTGCACATCTGATGAACAAAACTTCTTAGATCTGTTTTGAATCTCCGCACCCAGGCACCAGCCAGAGCTCCCAGTCGGTTCAGTCCGGTCTGGTTCGTCAGTCCCCGGCCCGCGCCTCCATGGCCAGCCAGTCCTCGTCCTACCGCTACAGCAGCAGCCGTCATTCCTCGCTGCGCACCTCCACCACGGGCCTGGAGCCCTGCCGCCGCTCCTCCACCAGCCAGCTGTCCCTGCGCACGCTGCCCACCTCCCTGCAGCTGCGGCTGGGCTCCACGTCTGACCCCGCCGGCCCGTCCTCCTCCCTCTCCAGCCACAGCATCCCGCCCTGCAAGCGTCACACCCTGGTGGGCCTGCTGGGAAACGACGGCGTGTGCAGCGCCGTGACGGACCCGCTCAGCCAGCTCCACAACCATCACCACTACCCGCAGCAGCACAACCCCGCCGTCTCCACAGTACGAAGAGACGACATCTCGTACAGAGTGCAGGTTTGGGACTTTTTGCTTTTAAGATGACGTATCATGCAAAATGCACTCTTCTGTCCATCTGGGTTTTCTGCGCTTCTAAAAACAGACCAAGCACTTAAAAAAAAAAAAAAAAAAAACACCGAGCCAATTTTGTGGTAATACATTAATGTTTTTTGGTGTCTGGAAAAGGAGCTGTTCCAAAAACCTCCAAAAAGTAATGTCACAAATCAGCAGGCACTGCCCATTACCTAGCAACCCCAGCAGAACTTCAGCATGTTTGGTCTGCTGATTTTATCACTTGAAATGGCTGCTGGAAAAGACAAGTGTTTCACTGTTGACTTATCATCCAGGAACAACTTGCTACATTCATGTTCGTTGTGCTTCTGCTTTTCAAAGATGTACGGTTGTACAGTTGCGCATCTGTTTGCAGCTGATTTCATGTGCGAGTGCAGACTTTGAGTCGGTGGGCGTGGCCAGCAGCAGATTATTTGAATTTGAAGTAACAATAGGCCCTAAAACAGCTCATTCTGAAAGCTCAAAACAGATGGAAGTGAGCAGACCAAAGTCTGATGATCTGAAAAAGAGTTTGTACAAAATATGTAATGAACACGTTTTGTCTAGCCCACAGACGTCAACTGTTCAAGGAAGCATGAGAGGTCACCTTTAAATATAAGACATTGGAGCGCTATGCTTGTCAGATTTGTGTGTGTTGTGAATTTATCAGCTCTGATTTCAGTCTCTGTGTGTGTTTTAGATTGTGGATGTGACTCAGGTGTTGGAGAACATCAACTTGCCGAAGCGGAAGGAGCTGCTGTGGCCCGACGAGGCGATGAGACTGAGGGCAGGACGGACCTGCTGGAGGGACTGGAGCCCCGTCGAGGGCATGGAAGGTCATGTAAGTCGGCCGTGAACGTTACTTTGTTCGGCTACAAAATCCGAATTATGATGTTATCACCGTATATTGACTCTGGCAGTATTATGTCTTATCGTATTATTGTGACATTTTTTCTCATGTTACTACAACTTTACTCTCAAAATACTATGATGTTTCAGTGTAAACTTTGCTCTTGTATTATTTTGAATTTATTGTGACTTTTTATTGAAATATTATTACTTTTTTTCTCGTAAAAAATTTTTTTTTTTAGCCTGGCTCTAATCCTCTGTCGTACATAAGAGGCAAGATTTAATTTTCTTTATTTATTTTTTTGTTCATTACTTTCAAGTTGACTAAAGTCGCCTAATTCCATCAGCTGCCACCCAGCGTAAAAAAAACAACAAATTATAAAAAATAGCCTCGTTTCCTCTCCATACTTGCCTCATAAATTTGATCGGCTGCTTCGTCTCACTGACGCCTCTCCTGTGTTGCCCCCTGCAGGTGATTCACCGGTGGTTGCCTTGTAGCCGAGACCCAGCCAGTCGCTCCCACATCAACAAGACCATCCTGCTGGTACAGGTGGAAGATAAGCTAGTGCCCATCATTGATACTGGGGTCATCGAGTTGGGTGCCGAGGTTTGAGACTATTCAGCCAACCACATGCAGCCGCACGCAACGTTGCTTGTGCAGAGACACCCAGGCCTCCTCCCACCCTACACCCTCTACCGCCCCCTGGCTTTTCAGCAGGATGCCAGATCCTGCAGACAATGGAGAAATGGGAGCTTACCCCCTGGCTCCCGTTCCTCAACGCCGAGGGGGAAAGGAAGCCAGGGAAACGTGCAAACACAGGCAGAGTCTCCATTCGTCGTACACGCTTTGCCGCATCCACGGTATCTGCCTTGCGTCGCATTTCAGAAATGCTGCATGACAGTAAACAACACTCACATTAAGTTATTCTTTGCTGCCGGTGATTTCATTTCTATGCATCACATCTACAGTTTTCTTAGATTTTTTTTTTTATTATTATTATCATTATTACAAAGCGTAAGACCAGATGAGTTTGTTTTTATTTGCCAAATAATTCTGTTTATGATTTGCTATGGTTTCATACAAGTGAAAGCTTTCTCTCACTTTATTATTATTATTTTTCGGCTGCCAAGACTGCAGAGAAAGTTATCATGCAGAACAGAGACAAGTGGGTCCCCAACCAACTCTGCTTGATTGTTGTCATTCCTTTTTGTGGATTAGTTAAATTTCTTTCTTTTTTTTTATGCAAGATTAAGTTGCGCAAAGAATTAAACAACTTGCACTACTTTTTCTTTTTTTTTTCTTTTTTTTTTTTTACAGTGATGCACTACAATCTTTAGATCCCATTTTATTTATTACAGACTCTGAATGACCATGGTTGCCGATGCCTTGGGGAATGACAAAATGCAATCATTATTCTGTTTTCGGACATTTTTATTTAAATTTTTTAAGTTTGATAAACTTGAAAATAACTTTTTACTGTATATGAATTTATCTATACATATATATATTTACACAAATATATATATATATATATATATATATATATATATATATATACTGTCTATATCTAAAAGATTTTGTTTTCGATATTTATTACTGTGAACATAGTATTTTTTTTCCTTTTGGGACAAAGCTTAATGTATTAAGGACCATCATTTGAAAACAAGATGCCGCTTTTTTTTCTTTTTTTTTTTTTTGATGGACTGTTTCACTATTTAACTTGATTCTTTTCTATATGGAGAAATAAAAAGTTTGATTTATTGTTCTCTTTACTGCACTCATTTTGTGTTTTCCGTCGATTCATTGGCTGACATTTCAGAAGAGTTGAGAGCAGCTTTCAAATATATTTGTCCCCCTTTTAACTTCCACATTTTCTCCAACCAGGCTGACTTTAAATGACTTTGTTGTCATTTATCTGGATCTTATTTAATCTGATCCAACACCGAGCAGCGTGTGATATCAAAATAAAACCTGGGGGATGAAAGGGGATGAATGTTCAACTCAGATATGAGCACTTATGAACACCACCGGTTCAGGATTTTTTGTAAAAATTATAAAATGACTTTGTATTTCTTTACTGCATAAAATTTTGTTTTAATTTGACAAACTGCAGTAAATAGTTACAATAAAAAATAAATCTTCAAACTAATACAAGAGCTAAGTTTCGACAAGGCAGTTTACTTTTTTTTTTTTTTTAAGAAACTCTTAAATTAATTATCAGAATGTAAAAGGAATAGATTATAGGTAGAATTTAGGGTTTGTACCCCATGGGATTATGGCAACATTAAAGTTTCTTCCCCCAATCATTTAATCAAAGTTTACTGATTGAGGTTCTCCATGTAAACCATGTGTCTTCTACAGTAGATTTTCTTTTTCCTTGCATATTTCCGTATTTTACACACAATCTATAAACTCAGTTCAGTAAAGAATGGAGAAGATAAAAACTGTTCTGAAAGAGTTGAATTTAACACTGTGTCCGAGTCGATTTGGTCCCTATCAGATTTGGTGTCAATTTAACTCTTTCAATAGTGTTGTTACATTTTCAGAGTTCAATTTAAGTAGAGTAAAAATTTAACACTGACTAACACAGTGCAGTGTTAATAAAACTTAACACTCCTAGACAAATAACTGATAAGAGTAAATATGATTCTAATCAGAGTTAATAAGTTACTCCATAATAGTGAAAAAGCAACTTTGATTCTCATGCTTTTTAACACTGCATTGAGTTATTGAGTGTATACTGTAGGCTCATGTAACTCCTATAAGTGTTAAACTGGCACACTACTGTGTTTATAATTTGCTCTTTAGCTGTGAAAAAACAACTCTGCACACATAATTATGAAGTGCTATTTTTATAGTTTTGTAGAGTTAAATGTACAACTGAATAAAATCACACTACCACAGAAATGCATTAAACTTATTTATGGAATTAAAGCACATTTTTAAGGTAGACTGTTGACCTTTGGTTGTGTCACAGTAACATGGTGTACAATCCATTGTTGACGGCTCAAAGTTGACAGATTACATTTAAGGCAAAGAGTTTTTCCATCCAAGTAAATATTAATTAACTACTCGTATAGACCAAACAAGTGCATTTGTGCAACTTAACTCTGTCCAACAAATAAAACACATTAAGCCAAACAGATTTGTTCCAAGTACTACTGAAGCAACCTAGCCCGAATTTCTGCGCACGAGGACCTTCTTACACTTTTTCTACGTCTATATTGTACACAGTGCTCGATATGTTGTGGCAAACACGTAATGTGCCTCAAACAGTTCGTCAAAAGCACCAAGAGAGGAGGTTGACCCGAAAGCAATGGCATTTTTTTTTATCAAGGATGGTGAAGAACTGGTGGGCTACTTTCTTCCTCCGTCTTACAGCTGGGAGATAGGGCTGTGTTCTCATCGCGATGGCATCAAGATGTTCTTGCATGTTGGTTCCTGTCTGTGCGGGGGAAAAAAAGAAAAGAACACAATACAAATACAATTCCATAGCTGCAAAAAACAGTTTTCATATGGAAAAACAGCATTTAACTGTGTGATATCACCCTAAAACAAATTCTCCCAGTGAAACAACCTTGAGTATGACATAAAATAAAATTTGCAACAAATACAAACCTTCTTGAAGACCACAAGATGCTTCTCTGCTTGCGAGGCAGACACTTTCCCTGGTCTCTTACAACCCAAGGCACAGGGGGGGACTCAGGTGTAGCAGCAGCAAAATCGATGAGAGTTCACTGTCTCAACCTGTGATTAGAAAAATTTGACACTGAATTGACCATCCAAATCTAGTCATAATGCAATTTAAATTATTTGTACATCACTAAGTGAAGCTCACACAATAATTGAATCCTACATAATGTAGAAAGGCATCCTTACTCATGTCATCATCCACTTCAGTGCCATCCTCAGGAGTATCAGCTGCCAGAAATTCTTCAAGGTCACATATGTAATCTGTATTTGATCATGTGCAATTGTATGCTGATGACACGGTTATCTTTATTGTAGCAAAACAATCCTGAAGAGGCAGCAATAACTTGTTCCTTGTTCTTTACATGCACAGAAAATGAATTGAACTCGTGCTAAATTTAGGGAATTTTATTTATTTATTTTTAACACCATACATACTGTCCTTCTGGATGATGAAGAGCTGAAACTATAAAGTCCTGTCCTTTAAGACTCATATTGAGACCACAGCTATAAAAGCATAATCTCAAAAATTGATCCAGATATGGTGATTATAACTGCTGTAAAGAACTAGAATTAACATGTTACATTTTCCAAACATTTTACAATGTTTTAATCACCTTAGGGCCACCTGTAATAAACAAATACCTTAAAAACTGTCCTGAAATATCGCACACAATTTATTGAACAAAACTGGCAACCAGTGCGGATTGTAATATCCCTTTTTAATAAATGGTTTTCTACGGATTGATCTGCCTCTAACTTTCATATGCAGATCAAGCCCTGGTGCTTTTAAGAGCCAGTTGAAAGTGTGATTCACCAGTCTTGTGATCGCGACTCATGTGACGTTCTGGGCTTCACCTGTGCTACAAAGGTGAACCGTCTTGGTGTTACTTCCACATTCCATGACTGAGGCTGCATTTTATGCATTAAGAAACAACCCCCATTTGCTTCAGAATAGAGAAATGGCAAAACCATCTGTGTTGGGCTCCACAGAAACCGTGGTGCATTACAATCAAGGATTCACACCTATAATCCAAGCAAGTCTCTCTGTTGGGAAACACCCAGAGATGGTGACACCCTGCTGCTATATCATCTGCTGACCACCACATACAAAAGGAAGCCCAGAATTCACTGCAAGTCAGAGCAGACTTCTTTGACTCTGTACTTCTGTTCTCACCTCGCAAGGTTTTAATACATTTCTTTTTTTCTTCTCATCCAAACTCTTGTTAAAGTATTTTTTCCACAACAGTGACACTACATTCATCCGATCCTGCAGTCAAGTCTTCTTTTTTATTTATTTGCAGTATCTTATTTCTAACACCTGATATCACTGAAGCAGTGTTTTCTCTTATGCTTACATCCCACCAGGACTGTGATCCTATTTGATTACGGAGGTACTGTGTGCCCTAGTTTTTTTGGTTTCATTGAAAAACATGCTGCATGTTTGTGCCTGAGTTTGTTTGAATCACATGATCTTTTACAGTCAAGGCCCGCCCACCCCGCGCTCTGATTGGCTGATACGTCTTTCCCGACGTCGCTTATAAACCTGCGTTGCCAGGCGTTTCGGGATGTAACGTCTGCCTGACGCTCCTCTTCGGAACCGTCTGAACCGAAACATTAAAGGTAATGAAACAGCTGCACGTTTTCTTTCTGTCATAAATGTTGTATTGTTTTGTGACGTTGGAGAGTGAGAAATATCTGGTTTTTATTTAAAAAATAAAAAACAGTTGGCTACTTTGTGTTTCTCGAGGCTTCGCGAGCTTCCCAGAATGGATGCGTCACGTGACCCCAGGCATCACGTGCCTCTCCCCTGTGGTGGTTATTCACGTTATTGTGGCTAAAATTCCCTAAAAGTTCCGTTTTACTCCGTTTCTGACCCTCGCAGGGCTCCAGAGTTGGGGGACAATGCGTCAGTACGTGCTGCTCGCGCTGCTCGGCCTCAGCGTCGCGCTGGCTCGCGGGTATCCCGCTCCGGAGGAGCCCGACTCCGGGAAGCACTGGGTGGTCATCGTGGCAGGCTCCAACGGCTGGTACAACTACAGGCACCAGGTAAGACAGGGACAAACGCGGGGCTGTGGGAATGACTCGTTTTTTTTTTTTTTTAACCCGCCCCAGTAACTCGCCCTCGCTCCAGGTAACAGACACATTGAACTTTAGATGAGCTTCCTTCCACGTCGCTTTGTGCTTTCCCAGCTTCCCATCGACGGCGTCAATGTGCTTGTTGACCCGCATGTACCTGTGTTTTCCTCGCGCAGGCCGACGCCTGCCATGCCTACCAGATTGTCCACAGGAATGGCATCCCGGATGAGCAGATTGTGGTCATGATGTACGATGACTTGGCACAAAATGAGGAGTGAGTTTGCTTTTTTTTTTTTTTTTTACTGTTTCTGTACTTCTCCTTTCTTCTAAAGGGTTTAGAAATTGTATGCATATTACTCATTTCTTAATAAGTTATAACTACAAATGAAATTACAGGAGGGATTAATAGTTTGCATTGGTGGTTCTCAAGCTGTGGTGCATGTACCACAGACGGTACTTAGGATGGCTGCAGTTGCACTCAGGAGAAATATTATTATTATTATTATTATATGCAATGCAACAAATTAGCCAGACTGTAGTGAAAGAAACAGATTCCAGCAGCTACGTATGTCATGTTCAGATTAATTTTGAAATTGGAACTTGAATATGACTTCACCATGTTACAGTTCTATGTCTGCAAAGAGGTGGGACTTCAACGATATGTGCCAATAACATATCAGTTTCTCCACATTTTTGCATAGAGCCGGGTGTGTGTGCGCGTGCGTGTTTGTGCGTGCGTGCGTGTGTGTCTGTGTGTGTGTGTGTGTGTGTGTGTAAAGGATTAAAAGAAATACAAATGATCACAAGTGCAAATAAAAAGTTTCATTTTTATGACATGTTAGGTTTTTCCCAGTCAGAATCCCAACTTCCATGGTCTTTTTAGTAAATATTTCCAACTTCAAACTTGGAAAGTTTTAACTTTCAAGTCCAAAATGCAGCGTGTAATTACACAGCTTTCCTCAATTAATCATGTAGTGATTTATGTCTTTTCCTGAATTTCTATAGAACCTCATTAAATACGCTTAATGTTAATAATATATCACTATATATTTAACTCAAAAAGTAATCATAAGCAGCTTTTTAAGCAATATCGCATGTTGTGTTGACGAGTTATGACATATAAGTATAATATGCCTTCTTTAATCTGATTGTAAATTTAATTAAAAAACGTATAATCTGACAGTATCACGTTATTAATACAAAGATTTCAAACTAAAGTGCATAAAATGATCTTCAACAAAATATTGATCTTCACAGTTGTTACTTGTACAATAATGTTATTATTAATAGATAGACATTCTCTATATTATATAAGGATTTTAAAATTAAACAACTTTTTCCCCAGCTGCTCTTTATAGACTAGCACAATCATAAGCAGCTGATTTATTTATATTTATTTCATCATCTGCTTAAGAGATATTTCTGTTTGAATGTTTCTAGCTGTAGTTTTAAATCAGATTTCTCTTAGTTATTTCCAAACATTCAAAATAACAGTGTAGTCTATCAATGTGCCGCAAATAAAGGAGGAGTAAGAAGACGGGCTTGTCACACAGATGAACAGTCCTAGCAGATTATTAAGATGCTTCACATTGTTGGAGCCGTGTTCTGGTAAATCTTGGTTCTTTTGAAATTCAACACTGGTATAACAGGCCATTGAGAGATGCACAGAAAATCTGCCAGTGAGTTTGTTTTCAAAAATAAAACTGCTAAGCTCGTGTTGATTTGGTGATAAACGTAGCACAATAGACTCTTTTTGTCGGAGTCAGAGAAAGTCTTTGGGACTTTTGGAGAAAACAGTGGAAATATTTATGCTGTATTTTTTATATTTTTTGCTGTATGGGGACATTCTTGTCACATCTTTAAACCACAGTGAAACAAACAAAAAACAAAAAAAAGTCCAGCTTCCCCGTCGCCGTGTCACGCCAGCCTTCTGTTGTTAATCATGAAGAGGCTCGGGTAAAGTCACGAGGAAACACTGGTGGTGCTTCCTTATCAGTTGGTTTGACCCGATGTCAAGTGAAAGAGGCGCAGCCATTGATTTGACGAGACGAGTATTTGACACAGCAGTTTCAGGATAGAGATTTCATTAAATAAACAACTTTAAACCCAACAAGGACTATGATTTTCAACAAATTTGCTCGTTTGGTTAAAAAAAGTTTTTCTCCAATCATATATCTAATTGTTACACAGTTATTCTGTAAATAATTTCTCTTTTATCAGTGGTGTTGTTGCCATCAACGAATCAAATGTTTTACTACATGATAACTCACTTTTTTTATTATAATATCAACAAAAAGTCATTCTTTGAGCAATATGGTTTGTTAAATTATTTGAGCAGGATAGGGGATTAAACACAGTCTATAATGGACTTTTAAATACAATTAATAGTGGCTTGTGCTCTAATGTGACTTTATTACAGAGATCTGGGTCAGTGGTTAATGAATAACGAGCACAGCCAACACAGGTTCTCTTATATAGTACATACAGAGCAGGTGGATTTGTTTTATCCAAGTAATGACGCCATTTCTGGGATGGAGACGATGATCTGCAGCTCGACATCATGTGATTGGTGAAAATAAAATTTGTGAAGTCCTCACCGGCTCGTCACCTGACACGTGACTCGTTATCATTCGTCTGTTTCCTCGTGAACTCTTCAAAACCCTTTGTCAGCTCTCTGCACTTCCTTTTTTCTGAAGTGGAACCATTTTGTCTTTTCCAGAAACCCCACCCGTGGAATATTAATCAACAAGCCCAATGGCACTGACGTGTACAAGGGAGTGCCTAAAGACTACGTCGGGGATGTGAGTCGCTCGGGACCAGCTTAAGTGGAAAAACTGTAAATGGCAGCTATGAATTAAAAATGAACTTTATGTGTGTGTGTCTGTGTGTTTTTGTTTTCTTTTGTTTTTTTTGGTTGTTGGCAGGATGTGACCCCAGAAAACTTCTTGGCCGTTCTGAAGGGAGATGCCTCGGCAGTCAAAGGTGGTTCTGGAAAGGTGTTGAAGAGGCAAGTGGGAAACAAGAGGAAGAAAAACACATTTTTTTCAGAGGCAACACCAGCACACCTGGTTCATCTGGTTTATTCAGTGTTTTTTTTTTTTTTTAAGTAACATTAATTACTTTCTTTTTGTTTTCTCTTTGGCAGCGGCCCCAAGGATCATGTGTTTGTGTACTTCACTGACCACGGAGCACCTGGAATTTTGGCTTTTCCCAATGATGATGTGAGGATTCCTGTCTCTGTTTTCTTAAGATTTAAACTGCAGATTAAAACTTTCTGCTCATATCAGTTCATCATATTACAAGACAAGAAGCTATAAGAATGACCTTCCTGAGCCAATACTATTATTATTGGTATGTGACGTCACATAGCTTTTGCTCATATGAACAAGGATTTAAACAAAGACAAAAGAATTGTGAATCTGACATTTATTGACAAACTTATATTTGTATGAAGCACAGCTAGCAAGATAGAAACAATTTTTGTTTGTGTGTTCCAGAGAAAGCAGATCTGAACTCTGAAAAACATGAAAAAAAGACATCTAAAACATTTGCAGTGCTTTATTCACCCTTCCTGTTAAAGTTTCGCTCATACTCCCCAACTGAACTTGCCTTTGAAAATGGTTTCCTTTTACATAGCTTGTTACGTCTTTGAGCTTTTTCTACAGTGAACCTTTTTAGACATTATCTAATTATGCTGACATCTGCTACTTCTTGTTAACTAGTTTGGCTTTGCAACTTTAAGATTCAGAGTTGATCTGCAACTCAAATAACAGGGTACAAAACTGTCACAAACAAAACTGCTGAGTCTGAAGTTTGTCCCAACAAAAAAACAAAACAAAACAAAAAACCCTGTCACCCTTCGCTTTGTCTCCCATGTTCTGTAACGTTGGAGATCAACACACAGATTCCCCAGTCAGTGCCCGCTGTCTTGGTTACGTAACGTCTGTCAGTCTGCAGCAGACACTGCATCTATTCATCCTGCATTCAGTTAAAAATCCTCTTGTTTTTCAGCTCCACGTTGAAGATCTCCAAAAGACCATTCAGTACATGCATCAGAACAAGATGTACAAGAAGGTGAGCTTCTGGACTCGCGATCAGAGACGTTCCGGTCAGAGGGGGATGCAGAATACTGACACGTTCTTCCTCCGCAGATGGTGTTTTATATCGAAGCGTGCGAGTCCGGGTCGATGATGAAGAAACTGCCTGATAACATTGATGGTAAGCTAAACTTCCAGTGACTTAAAGCCACTGATCCAAGTCACAGACTGAGTCAGAGTCATGTGGTTTGTTTCTTCGTACTGTTTTCTCATCGTTTGTTCCGTCTAGACTGGACTGTGATCCTCTTTTAGCCTTCTGGTCCTTTTTCGATGCTTGTCTAAACTCTGTGATGTCAGCACTACGGCTTGTGGCCATTTCTGAGCATCATGTGATAAACAGAACCTGCTCAAAGTACAAAAAGACTGTCATCAATATTTCTCTCCTAGAAATCTTCACTTGGTCATGACTTCTTTTTATTCTTTACTTTTCAGATAGAAACTTTCTTCCATATTTAGCAACCAGAATGACATCAACTTTATTTGTTGGCATTTATTTGCATGACTAGCAGCAACATGAGAATGCACTTTCTCAGGTTATTCAACAGATTAGTGTGGCAGTGTATTAAAGTAATAAAAGCAACGCTAATGAAAACATGAGATAAGCAAATTGTTGCATTTTGCCAGCTGTAGAAGGAAAATTGAGTATTGGTGTGCTGGTTCTCCTTTTTACCTGACAGTATCAGTGTAAATAGTTAATGAAGAGAGTGTAAGGGCTACCTGCTCCTTCAGAGGCTGTGAAAATGATCCTGGACACAGAATATGGTTTAGGACTGGGTCAGAACCAGCCAAGGCACTCTGAGATTGTTTTAGGTGTTACAGTTTTAAACTACTGTTCACATTATTTAAATTTCCTTTAATAGAAATTTTTAGACCAATGATTGTTTTTCTTCTGGTTCTCTAGAGCATTCAGAGATTCCATGTTGCCACTTCCCTGCATGCTGCTGCCCACTGCCACTCAGCTGGCTAAAACAGGATATTTTTTCTCAAACTGAGAGAAAAGATTGATGTTTGAAAATATTTCAGACTGACATTTCATGGAAACTAAAAAGAGCACAACCCCTTAATTATTATTTATTTTATTTTTTTTTTTACAATTTAGGTGACACAAGATTAGCAATAAGTGTGATTAATTTGCTAAAATCTGTCAGCGCAACATGCAGG